CAACGCCATTAAAGATATTGTTTTCAGGTCTTTAATTTGTTTTATACCCAGCGTAGCCAGTGCTGTTATCGTGTCGCTGGGCATAGCACCTCTGGTGCCCATTACGACTGGCAAGATCTTACCTTTGTTCGTACCATATTGACGCTTTAATCGTGGCAATAACCTATCCTATTTCTCCTCTTTTTCTGTCTCGGCTTTTCGGAGGTAATCCCCATCCTCGTGGCGGACTGTTACATCGACCACGAAGACCCCGCCCTGATTCTTAATGATCAGGTCGGGTTTGAAATTACCTCCCTCAGCGAGAGGTATGGCAGGTTCTTTAGTGATGGTTGCCCCTTTGTCAGTTCCGCAGACCGTTTGCTCTACGAAATCTTTTATATCATTATGCCTGCGGATTCTAGAGGCCTTGGTGTGAATGCACTGGCCCAGTATATGAGCAAGCGTTTCTTTGCTCATTTTACATTTCCTGCAATTCAGATCTTGCTGCGAGATAGCCCTGTTCAAGCTGGTTCTGTTACCTGCCGTGTTTGTTCGAAGCTGAAGAGCTGTTGTGAACCTACAGGGCTTTAATAGGTTGGATCTCGTAGAAAAGAGTTCCCAATTTTGTCTCCCGCCAGTACATCCACAGCCTGGCCCTGAGCCGTCAACTCGCGCCATCTTTTGAGCTCAGGTCTTTCGGCACGCGTCCTTATATTTTCTCAGATCTGCCGCGGTATACGGGTAGTTCAGCCTAACGCTATTCGCCAACTTTCTCATTCGCAAGGCCATCCTTGAGCAGTTCAACAGCGCTCCGATAGCCGGGCCCTTTGATTCCCTGAATTTCAGACCGGCGGCCAAAGAGACCCTTGGGACAAGCTCTTGCAGCTTGGGGAACCCCAGACCACCGTCCTTTTTCGGGCAATAAATCACGCCGTTACATATTGATTGCGGAAGATGTAAAACCTGTTTCACGGCTACCCTAAGCTCTTGGTCTATGGCCATCAGGAGAGTTTTAGGCGGCGCAGCAATCGTCAACTGGTGAAGGTAATGCGGCACCAGAAATGTCTGGAGCAGACCCACCTTCTGCATCGGCTTGAGTTTCAGGGCTTTCACCCTAGCCGCTACACCGCTCAGATGTGCACCTATTGCACTTAAGTCAAACCCGGACGAAATCGAATAGGAGCATCCCAGGTATGTTAGTCTGTTACCAGGTGTGCAGGCCGGAAGTTTTTCCCCTATTCGCTCCATACCCGGATCCACCATATACCAAGAATCCTTGGTTGTCCTAATTTGGTATGCACAACTTTTATTCGCGGCAACAGTTATGCCAAGCGAGCCTAGCTCCTCCACCGTGCAGTCGAGCAGCGCCTGCGCCTCAAGAGGGTCCGACGCAAACAAAAATAAGTCGTCGGCAAAGGCAAGGCAGGATATGTTGTTATCTTTACCGATTGGGTAGCCAGGCATAGCCTGCAGCTTCTCCAGTAAAGGATCCAGCACCAGGTTGAAAAGAAGGGGAGATAATGGGTCGCCCTGCTTGACCCCCCGCTGGAGCCCAATCTCTATCCCCCCATCGGGGTGGCCAATCGTGGTGGTGACACCCTCATATGAATCCCTTATAAGGTTTACAATTGGCTGCGGAATTCCTTTCCGCCTTAGGGCCGCAGGTATCGCCTCGTGCGGGATGGTGTCGAACGCCTTGGCGACGTCCAACTGAATACCAACCCCGCCCCGATTCTCCTTCATGTGACAGGTTAGCTCGTGCAAAATCTGCACATTCGCGAAGCATCCCGCCTCCGCTACAAACCCCTTCTGTCTCGAGCTGATTTGGACAGTCGATCGGAGACGCTCATCCATAATGCCCCAAAACACCCGGCCAAGCAACGAGCCAATAGTAATAGGTCGGTAATTAGTGACCTTACTCCCGTCTTTACCCTCTTTGGAAATCAAGGTGGTTTTGTTTTACTTCCAAGCAGCGGGTATGATCCCCGAGGCCATAATTAGATTAAACAGCCCAGCCAACACATCGCTCTTGTGCGCACCGAGAAACGCGGCTTTCTTCAGGCCATCCGGGCCCGGCGCGGTGGACTTTTTAGTCCTCATTAATCTATGTTTAATTTCCAAAGCCGATATTGCTCTAAAACTGTCGAGCTCTATCAATGAGTCCACCTCCGGCTCCGGAATGCAAGTAGGAACTCTCGTTCCCCACAGGGCTCGTTACCCACACACATCCGCGTCTCCAGGAGCTAAGAACTTCTTGTTAACATCCTCCGCACCTTTTTTTTCTGCGGCCCTTGGCGCACTGGGGCCAGGAAAAACGAATACATCGTCGGCCTCTCTCAAGATCTTTGTGCCATGTGGCCTTGCCGTCCTCCTCTCAGCTGGGGAGTTATACGCCTCCACGCCTTGCTCAAGCGGAGCTGAGCAAGGCCTGCCCGCTCCTCCAGCCACCACCATTTTGGCAGATGGCGGCGATCTGGGGATGGACTCCCTTCTCTCAAAAGGGTCCTGTTCCTTATCCTTATCTTTATCCGTTTTGTGTGCCATTGTCATCGTCATGTATCTCGGTTTTAGTGTATTTGTTGAATTTTGTTTTTCCATAATTAATCCCACGATTCTGGCGAGTCGCAAAGTCCGCTCAAACAGAGCCCCCAGTACCCGAGTAAGGCGACTTAATTACCGCAGGGTTGCGCCAGGTGCCCTACGGGAATCGTTTACGGCAGTGTACCACCCCCACGACCCCCTCGGCACGCTGTTTCCCACCTTGGCTTCGGGGTTCCGCTGACACACCCCACGTCCAACGGCGACTCAGCTCTGGATGTTATGCTGGTTGACCTGTGGGTCAGTAGATAGGGACAGTGGGAATCTCGTTAATCCATTCATGCGCGTCACTAATTAGATGACGAGGCATTTGGCTTTTTTTTTTTTTTTTTTTTTTGATGCGTTGCCCACCAACAGAAAAGGAAGGGTATAGCCAAAGCCTCAAAGGAGGACGAAGACAAACAGTAAGGGGGTCTTACAGGCGTCCATCAAACGAGAGGACCCAGGACAACAGGACGGTCACGAACGAACAATGGGGGGGGGGTTCCCCGGGGAACATAAAACATTAATCGCCGGTCCCTCACCCGATTCCCTCTTGATCCCGCTGCACGGATCCGGTGGGAACCAGAGCTGTCATTTGGTTCCACCGGTTCCAGTTTGTATGGCTGCCCCGCAACACCCTGGTTGTGATTCCCCGTAATAACCCCTTCTTTAACCCCATGCCCAACAGTCAGTCAGCAGACTTGACACACCAAATCCCCCTCCATGAGATGGTGCAGGAGGAGAACTCGATGTCCGGCTGTTGTACGCCGGTCTCCCTCGAGATCGCCTCCCCGAGCGAAACATTGTATAGCACAATAGCGGACCTTCCGCTCGTGGGCGTCCGATAAGGGAGTCGCTCCGCTGACGACCTGTGCGTCCACCACAACGGCCTTGGGGCCACGCAGGCAAAGCAAGTCAGGCTTGCGTTTGCCCTCGGTTGTGACGTACGACGGTTTTTCTCGTACGGTCCAGCCCACGTTCCTCAGTCCTGACGCTAGGACTGTAGTAACTTTTAACTAGAGATACTTTTTAAAGGAGTTTTATTAATAAATGTTAATACAATAAATTGTGTGATAAGAATAATTGAAGTCTGTCTTTAATAAACAAATGGTCTGTAACATAGTAACGAAAATGGTGTGAAAACGTATAAGGTGTAAGAGTATATGTGGTGTAAGTGTAGACTTAAAAATGCTATAGTAAAGTCACAGTAACGCCACAGTACTCCCCCCAAGCGACGACTACGTTGCGAAATGGACTTTCTTCTTAGCTGGGTAAGTTCGTAATGATTTTCCGAAAGAAGCAGTAGAAGAAGTACTAGGGTAATCTGGTGAAATAGTAGATGCAGGTATGACTGAGGTGGTTGTAGGAACTGCAGGCACAACTGATGGTACAACTGATGTGGTTGTAGATGTAGATGAAGTTCTCGAAGAGGATGAAAGAAGAACAGAAGAATCTTCCTTGGGAAAAAAGGCTGGTTTCAGACGTTCCGTTGAGACGTTGACTAATTTTCCTGAAATGTCAATAGTAAACAAAAAATCAGAAATTCGTTTGTTAACAAGAAAAGGACCAGAATATGGTGATTGAAGAGATTTCTTCACTGCATCTTCACGAAGCCATACGTGAGTACAATCATAAAGATTTTTGTGTACAAAAGGTGATTTTTGGTGTGATGATGAGTAGGAGAAGATCTAATATTCCTCATATGTATTCTATGTTTCTCTAAAAATATTTCAGGATCTGCTGGAAAATCTTCCTCAATAAAGAATTCACCAGGAATCCGAAGAGTAGTTCCATAGAGTAATTCAGCAGGTGAAGTTTTCAAGTCTTCTTTGAAGCACGAACGAAGACCAAGAAGAACAGTAGGTAAAGATTCCAACCAATTCTTCGTCTGATGACACATAATTGCAGTCTTGACAGTCCTATGCCATCTTTCCAAAATTCCGTTTGTAGCTGGATGATAAGCAGAAGTTCTCTTGCGATCACATCCAATCAAATTAGTTAATGCTTTAAAGAGAGATGCTTCAAATTGTGGGCCTTGATCTGTAGTAATAGTTATAGGAGATCCATATCTAGCTACCCAATGAGAATAGAAAGTTGTCGAAACTGTTTCAGCAGTTATTTCTTTAAGTGGAATAGCTTCAGGCCACCTCGAGAAACGATCTATTATTGTTAAGCAATAACGGAAATCTTGACAAGAAGGAAGAGGGCCTATTAAATCTAAATGTACATGTTGAAAACGCTGATCAGGAACCGCGATTTTAACAGGGACATTTTTGTATGTCTTGAAATTTTGAAACGTTGGCAAGGTAGACAAGTGCAAGTCCACTCTTTAACGTCTTTATTCAATGACGGCCAAATAAATTTCTGTAGAAGTTGTTTAGCTGTAGATCTTCCACTGGGATGTGCGAGGCCATGTACTACATCAAAAATTCTTTTACGAAGAGGTTTAGGAACGTATGGACGAATTAACTCAGAGGAACAGTCACAATATATAGGTACAGATGAGCCAGTAAGCATAAGTTTCCTTAGTTGGAGTGAAGAGTTCAAAGAAAGGAGATCTTGAAGTTCTTCATCATCCTTTTGAAATTCTGCTAATTCTTCCAGAGAGACAATGATTGGCATTGAAACTGACTCAATTCTTGATAAAGCATCAGCTACAGAATTTAACTTGCCTGAAATGTGGACAATATTAGTAGAGAATTGAGCAATAAGATCCAGTTGCCTAATTTGTCTAGGTGAAGCTTTGTCAGGTTTCTGAAGAAAAGCATAAATTAAAGGTTTGTGATCTGTCCTAATAATGAGTTGTCGTCCTTCAAGCAAATATCTGAAATATTTAATTGCTAACGAAATGCTTAAAAGTTCTCTATCATAAGTACTGTAGTTCTTTTGAGTTTTATCAAGCTTTTTAGAAAAGAATGCAATTGGTTTATTGACATTTTCAATTGTCTGTTCAAGTGATGCTCCTACAGCGAAATCAGAAGCATCACAAGTAAGAATCAAAGGAACTTGAGGAGCAGGATGAGAGAGGGTAGTCACACGGAGAAGTTCTTCTTTGCAATTCTGAAAAGCTGCTTCTGTCTCCATAGACCAAGGAATAGTTCTCCTATCTCTCTTGCGACTGTCCTTCAAAAAGTTTGTAAGTAATGCTTGATGTTCAGCTGCGTTTTTAAGGCAACGACGATAATAATTAATAATGCCAATAAATCTTCTTAAATCATGTATTGTCTTAGGTTTGGGATAGTCAATAATCGATTTGACTTTTTGTTCTGTAGGTTTGATTCCTTGACTAGAGACAAGATATCCGAGAAAAGTAATTTCTTTTTGACCAAAAAGACATTTGGATACATTAAGTGACAATCCAGCTTTCTGTAGACGATCAAAAACAATTCGCAAATGAGTGATGTGTTCTGACTCATCTCTAGAAGCTATGAGAATATCGTCAAGATAGCAAAATGCAAAATCTAAATCATTTAACAATATATTCATAAACCTTTGAAATGTTTGAGCTGCGTTACGAAGACCAAAAGGCATAACCAAAAATTCGAAAAGTCCAAAAGGTGTAGTTACAGCGGTCTTAGGAATATCTTCCTTTGCAACGGGTACTTGATAGTACGCTTTAACAAGATAAATTTTAGAAAAGATATTCTTACCGTAGAGCTCCGCAGTGAAATCTTGTATGTGAGGCAATGGATATCGATCAGGAACAGTGACCGAATTTAACGCACGATAATCTCCACAAAGTCTCCATACATTTTCCTTTTTTGAAACCATATGCAAAGGTGCTGCCCACGTACTGCATGATGGTCTACAAATACCTTGGTCCATCATGAATTTAAATTCTTCTTTAGCATACTTCAGTTTCTCCGGAGAAAGTCTTCTGGGAATTGCAAATTTCGGAGGACCTTCCGTAACAATCCGATGTTCAATTCCATGTGAGTTTACCGATGAAAGAGGGGCAAAATGAGTAAGTCCTTGAAATTCTGCTAAAATCTTGTGAAAAGAAGAATCTGGAGATATGGTACAAACTGATAACTGCAAAACTTCTTGTATCCTTCCAAAATTTTTAAGACCTGTTAAGGAATCAATTAGACCAGAGCTGTCCACATTTGCTCTTTTCGGCCGATTCCGAGAATCCGTTAACAATAGTACCTCATGGGTGACGTGAAATCTATTGCCACAATTATTAATAAATATAATCTAAAAATAAACATTTATAAATAAATATATAAATAATTAATAATAAAAATAATATTAAAAAATCGCTTTTAAAATATTGAAAATATTAGTTAAATTTAAAGTTAAAGAAAGGTACGGAACGGCATCGCGTTACAGATGCATCGTCCTGAGACGGATAGTTACGGCTATCGGTCAACGCGTTGCTAAGGCCTCGAGCGCGATTGGGCGGTGAATCTCAAATCGGCCGAAAAGAGCAAAATGTGGACAGCTCTGAATTAGACGTTTGTTTTTAACATCTACAAGGAGATTAAAATGTCCGAGGAAATCTGCGCCTAAAATGGGACGTTGTATGTCCGCCACGCAAAATTTCCAACGGAAAATTCTCCTGAGACCAAGATCCACGGAAAGAGTTTTAGATCCATAAGTATCAATGTGTGATCCGTTGGCAGCAAAAAGTTTTAAATTGGTTGATAACGGTTTGTATAATATTTTCTTGGGAAGCAAAGAAATGTCAGCACCAGTGTCAACAAGAAATTGTAAATTAGACGACTTGTCAAAAATAACGAGGCGATGACAAAGTAAACCGTTGCAAGTTGCCTCTATCTTCAACGGTATTTCTAGTTTTCCGTTGAATCAGTAAGACAGAGAGTTTTTGACATTGTACAAGGAATTGTACATTTCTTTGCTTTATCTCCAAATTTCTTGTGATAAAAACAAATTTGTTCCTTAGAATCCGACTTTTTATCTCTTGAATTAGATCTTAATCTTGTTTTACTTCGAGATCGACTAAAAGATCTACCGCGACGACGAAAAACTTCCAGCGCAGCAATTCTTTTCTCTAAATCAGCCAGATCCGATTGTTTTGATTTTAAAGAAGCGTTTACTTCGGTTATTTGATATCCGGTATCACGTTCGACTATTTTATCCGCGAGTTCAGCTAGCTTGATTAAAGGTACATCCTCAACAACAGCTAATGTTGCTTGAACTTTGTATGGCAAACGTTGAAGCTAAAGTGAATGTAATATATTATCCGCTAAAGATCCACCGGATAATTGGCGTATCTCACGTAACAACTCCGTTGGTTTTTTGTCATTCAATTCAATTCCGGCTAATAATTGACGTAACTGTTTTTCTTCTGAATCCGTGAAGCGGTTAATGAGCGCCGATTTTAAAGCGTTATATATATCGTTTTGGGCGGATTTTCAACAATTTCCGAAACGACAATTAATGCCTTTTCATCGAGATGACGAATAACGGTATTATATTTTATTTCCTCGGAACGTATACGAAATATCAAAATTCGCTTTCGACTTGAGCAAACCACAATTTAGGTTGTTTATGCCAGAATGTAGGAAGTTTCACAAGACGAAATTCATTAGAATGGATCTGAATGGACTCACCAGACTGCTGTTGCATATTTCCAGAGGGTGAATTTAAAATTTCCGATCCCACCTGATTTAAAATGTTCTCTGTCGAAGACGTCAAAGCAGTTGAAGTAGACGAAACAGTAGAGTGAGTTGTCTCAGATCTAGGAGGAGATCTATCTAAAGGCATCTCGGTTGTTATTCCAACGACGATAGGAAACGATCCGGAAATCAAAGTTCGAAGATTCTTGACCACGTATAGAAATCTTTCCAAAATTCAGAAATTGAATTTCCCGCTCAAGAGGATATTCCTGTTGTTTGAGATGCAAAATAATTCTTATCGCCAGTTAAATTATTTCGGCAGTAAAATGTAATTAGGATTTTCATATATTATACGTTTTCAGTCGAGACAAGGTTCGATCTCGAAAATAGTTATTGTTAAATTCTAGAATCTTCGATCGGCAATAATAAAGTCACATTTGTTTGTAATGGAATAAAAAAGAGTCGTAAATTGACAGCTGTCATATAAAAAAACGCTCAAATACACAAACAAGTAACGGTGTCGCAACCGTTCCGCCGAATAATTATATGCTATTGAGCATGCGCCACTTTAAAATCACGCAAAATTATTGGCGCTTCACGCGAGGGTGGGCTCCTCTCCGAAAATGATAAAAGAGGAGCTCACACCCGGTTTGAGGTCTTATCGCTTTCCGCCGTGTACGCATAAGAGTAAACCGCTTAGAAAAACCGCAGAACATTAAATCGACGACCACCGCCTTTTCTTGTGATTTCGAATTGTCCGCTGAAACTGATTAGATTTTGTGTTAATTTTTTGTGCGTTTAATTGTTAAGTATTGTACATTATATTTCCGTAAAGATTCGTATATTAAAAGTTTCTTTTATACTAAAAGTGACTCATCCTTTTTTTGGTGTCGTTCGATTCCTCTCACGCAGCGCGTTCGCGAACATATTTCTGGTCCTTCGAGCCGGATCTTCTCGCCGGCACCCGCAAGTTTGTGAACGTGTCGTCGTGTAGTTCGTGAGTGCTCGTAGTTCACCATGGATGTGAACACGTTGATCGATTGCCAACGTGAGATCCAGGTCCGTATTTCGCGCTCCGTGGAATACCTGAAGAAGCTGGGCACGACCAACATCACCGCCAGTGCCGTATCTACACGCACCAGAATCTTAGATCAGCTGTGGACGAAATTCGAGGCACAGCATGATCTCATTCGCGCAGCTCTGAAAGAAAAATATTGTGAGAGCGAATACTACAAGTCGGAGTTGCATGGAGATACGGAAAATCTGTACGTTGCACAACGCAGTACCTTGGATAGTTATGCCGAACATTTCCGGAAGCCGAACGTATCTCCATCCGTCGACGTCGCATCGAAGTCTTCGCTGCCGCGCATCAAGTTGCCGCCGTTCTCTGGCGCCTACGCCGATTGGCCATCCTTTCGCGATCTTTTTCTGTCCATTGTGAGCAGCAATTCGATCTCGAACATTGAGCGGCTCCACCACCTCCGCTCGTGTCTGACAGGTCCGGCTGAAAAGTTGATAAAGTCACTACCTGTCACGAGTGACAATTACGATCGCGCTTGGGCAATCTTGGACAAGCACTACAATAACAAAAGAGAATTAATCCGCTCCAACTTTGCCACGTTTACCGCCGTGCCAAAGATGAAGGGAGATACCGCCGAGGAGCTGAGCCGCATCCACAACGCTGTCACCGCCGCAGTCAACGCACAGGAGAGCATCGGACGTCCTATCAACTCGCATGGGATGGACCTGTTCAACCACCTGGTCGTCGAACTGTTCGACGCACGCACTCGTCTCGAATGGGAGTCAACCACTTCAGACTCCACCGAACCACCACAGAACGAGGCACTTCTCGACTTTATTAGTCGACGAGTATTGACGCTCAACGCCGCACGACCGAGGAGTGTCACAAAGGGACCTGGAGAAACATCACGATTCGCCAAAGCGCACGTCACGAAGCACCAAGGCGCGGATTCACCTCACTGTGCACTGTGCCGTGAAAACCATACCTTGATGACGTGCAAAAGCTTCAAGGCCAAGACTGCGGTTGAGCGGAAAACGTTCGTGGAGACCAACCGACTGTGCTTCAACTGCTTAGGCAATCATTTCTTAGCACGGTGTCAGTCAAAAAAGAATTGCCTCACCTGCAACGCACGACACCACACCATGCTGCACGGGGCATCCACATCAACACCATCCGCTGAGGCCACTTCACTTGCCACCACACTGGTCACTGCACGGCAAGCTAAGACGCACAAGGCCGTCCTTCTCGCAACCGCTCGCGTCAAGGTCGCTGATCGATACGGATCACCACACGAGGTTAGAGTCTTGATAGATCAGTGCTCCGAGGTGTCCATCATCTCTGAGGCTCTGGCTCAGCGTCTTCGGCTGCCTCGAGCTTCAACGGATCTGTCCATCTTCGGCATCGGAGGGACTCGCTCTGGATCAGCGCGTGGCAAGGTCACGATAGACATCACATCTGACGTGACCAATGCCGAGCTTCGCGTGGTGGCCTTTGTGCTGCCGCGCATCTCATTGCAACAAGGCACCGCTCAACGTGAAGATCGTAGCTGGCCTCACATCCACGGACTTCGATTGGCCGACCCGCGCTTCCTGGATGACGATCCTGCGGAGTTACTTCTGGGAGCAGAAGTCTACTCGCTGATCCTCGAGGAAGGCCTTCGCAAGGGCGGATCACGGATGCCGATCGCCCAGCAGACGAGCTTAGGATGGATCTTGTCCGGAGGCTACGACGCCGCAGCA